ATATAAACTCTTAAGTGTATTATTTAATAGATTTTGAGTTCGAGTTTCTTTTTAATTATCAATAGTGATAGTTATTAGAATTCTTATTCAGTCAGTAATTTCAGGGTTTCAAAAAATTATTTATTAGTTGAAGTGTACATAAGTTAATCCGGACATCACGGATCATAAAAAAAAAAAAAATAATAATAATAATAATAATTGACACATAAGTCCTCCTCCAAATGATCTTTGAGGTGGTGGAATCTTGATTACTTAGCTCTACTTTATTCACGTTCTTAGCTATCCAACTCAAAAGTTTTCTCTTTTTAATTATATTTTCTAGGATGTCCTAGCATCTTCATTTCATTGCTATGAATGATTATATTTTGTTTGTTACTGGACCACAATATATATAACGAATATGTTTTGTCCACCCTAAATCTATTTTGTGTGTATATCTTTGTTATATCTGAAAAAGTAGGGTTGACGCAGAACTCTGCCAGTATAAGTAGTCAAAGCTTAGGTAAATCTAGGTGCCGTTTTTAAGTGCAGCTACGTTGTGCGCTGATGCAAGAGGCATGCTCCTACCAATGCAGTAGGTGCGCGTCAGACTAGCAAAAGGCTGGAGGTGATCCACGTGTTCAATCCCTGCAAAACTCGAGTGAATTATTCGAGCAGGTGAATAACGGGACACAAGGAAGGATTTGCACAGTAATCTGACCTATTCACGGATTTAGTAATTATTACGTGATTTCATCCCACTATAAATAGAGGACTCGTCTCCCGTTTGTGGGATTAGCTAATTTTTCTCTGTAATAACTTACTTATTTTTTCTCTGTAATCATTTGTAAGTCAGCTCGCTGAACGCGCCCTGACCTCAATATACTAATACAATATCAGTGGACGTAAGAGTCGCTTTTTAAGCATCCAAACCACTTTAAATATTGTTCTCCATCTTTTATCCATTCTCATACCCTCATTAGCGTGTGTTCTCTGAGTCAGCTCAGCATTTCACACGTGTATTTAGTTGGTGTCAAAATCACTCATCAATAATCTTGAATAAAAATGGCGGCAAATTGTTGGGATCATCTTCCCGAGACAGTGACTCCAGAACGTATACATTAAAATTTCAAATTTCACTTGGATTCATAACAAGTTAATTCTCTACACGTATAATAAATGGATGTGGGAAGGGACTGTGAAATGTGTACAAAATGAGGAGATAGATGTGCACAAAATGTCGTCACGAGGAAGAAGAGAAGAAGAAGGGTTAAGATATGAATAGACATTAAAGCTTTAAACGTGTGGAGATGAAGGAACACTCAGTCGACAATGCGAATTTCTCCACCTAACCACATTTAAACTTTTCTTTCACGATTTGACAATTCAACATGACTTTACACATGGGTTTAAAAAAAGAATCAGTTGATAGATTATAGATAAGAGAATTTTCATCATTATTCAGTTGTATTATTATATATCAGTTTAAGCCATTGATATTACAAAAGTTACACTTTAATAAAGTTACATATTACAAAAGTTAGCACATTCAGACATTCCCATTTGTGTGGAATTCGTGAATCTCTGGATACTCATTGATGAGTGTCAAAGAGAAGTTCAGTTGTCCATGTCAACTATTGCTTAATAATTAATACGAATACAATTAATTGTTCTTATCGTTTAACCATTTTCTTTTATCGTGGTGGAAGAGAATAGGCTACCAATTTGACTGCCTTTTCAGTAACCTGGCCCAGACCAGATGAATATATATATGCGCCATGGCTGCACACTCAATTTTCCCCAGTCAATTAAAGTTGCCCGCCAATATGCTAACCGGGCCCAGACCAGATGAATATCTATAGGCTATGGCTGCACACTCAATTTTCTACAGTCAATTAAAGTCGCCCGCCAATATGCTAGTGACTCAAACAGTAAATGGATCACGTAGTGGTAGCTGGTAACAAATCTGCCGGCATAGCGCCGCTCCATTAACCCTCACCCTGTGGCTAATTTTTTTTTATTTTACGAGGAGGTGCTTTTGTCAAAGGGAGAATTACATGTTCACACCCACGGTTTGACAAAATGACTATTTTCCGTCATTCATCAGCTTCTTTTAGTATTTTCTGTTAATATTTGACTGAAAAGATAAACATACCTTTAAATAGTTTATTATAAATTAAAATTTAATTAAGTCAAAGTCTTTACTTGATTATTTATTAGTTTAAGTGTAAAGATATTTTTTTTTCTTTGTTTATTTTATTAATTAGGAATATTGATTTTTTTTTATATTAATTAGGAAAAATGAAAAACATTATAAATTTAATAGATTATTGAATAATAGTGATAGAGATATTGCTGACATTATAAATAAATATTAAGATCATTTAACTTTAAACAATTTTATAACATTACTTATAACTTTTTAGGTAGAACTAACTACTTTTTCTTTTTTTACTTTTTAGCTAATTAAAAATTTATAAAGTCAAATTTTTAAGGATAATTTTATCTTTTTAATAAAATATTAACAGAAAACATAATAAAACCTAACGAACGATGGAAAAGTATCATTAAAGTATCATTTTTAAACTTGAAGGTGGGAAAGTGTCATTCATCAAACCTTGGGTGGGGAAAAATCGTTCTCCCTTTGTCAAATTGTGACACATTGGCCAGAACTCTGAAACAGCTTCTCCCTTTGATACACGATAGCCTATTTTGTGTCTTCGTTCCATTATTGCATGGCAATGACAAGACAAGAATGGATAAAATGCATCTTGTAATGTTGTGATCATACCTGCAACTTGAGTATTCGAATCGGATATTCTCAAGATGCTGTAATTGATTTTGTTTGAATCTACCACCTACTTTCTAAAGAGTAATATGATAAAATATTATTCTCTCGGGCAATATTACACTTATAATATAATTTCACAAACTTTCTCATATAATCTTGATATGACAACTTATTATAGATATCGTCTGCTTAATTACAGGTCTCACCTACCTAATTACAAGCAAACCAATTACGAATCATCATATCAGGGTTATGAGAAAAGTTTGTAAGATTAAGTTGTAAGTAAATCTTTCCGTTTGTTTTGTTATTCATATCCATATTCCCAAAATACTTGTTTGTTTTATTATTTGAGAAATACTATTCTATTTTTTTAATTACTTTTAAACCCTTTAAGTTTATTAATTTAATTAAACACCCTTTAGAAAAAAAAGTTTAAAAATTAACAAAAACACCCCCACCCACCTATAGTTGCTAGATTCCAGCAACCACCAACGGTGGTTACCAGAATTTGTTACAACGGCGTAAAGTGACCGAAAATAGCCAGAAAAAGCCAAATCTAGTTGTCAGCGACGGCCAAAGAAATGGCCGTTGTTGACGGTGAACGACGGCCATATTTTTTGCCGTTGCTGACGGCTAAATTTGGCCTTTTGTAGCCGTCGACGGTCAGATTTGACTGTGGATCTAGCTTTTTCTGGTAAGATCAATGGTGGATATGGCTAGAAAAGGCCATATTGATGCACGACCAGCCAGATCCGACCGGTCTGCGTCGTAACACCATTTTTCAACCAAATTCTAGCGGTGGTGGCTAGAATCTTGCACTGTGGGTAGGTGGGGGTGCTTTTGTCATTTTATAAAATTTTTATATATTGGGGTGTTTAGTTAAATTAGCAAACATAGGGGTTTTTTTTTTTGTGAATTTTTAAATTTTACCTCGTAATACTCACCCTATTCAACTACCCAATGTTATTCCTAAAATTCTATCCAAAATAACAAAATAAACGGGCCCTTTATCGTTTTCTTTTTTCTCATAGAGTTTGCTATATATTCTTGAAGGGGCCCATTTACCTCTTGCTTATAGGCCCAACATTATATGGATCTTTCATGACCCAAAGCACTCCTAAATGGGCTGAGCCTGATGACATCAAATAATAGTTTTTGCCTCTACTGCCCCTTCTCATTTGTTCACGATTGCCCTCCGTTAGGCTCCACCGGATGGCCGAAATTTCGCTGTGAGAATGAGATAGTTGTGTCAAGTTATGACATATTTGCCAAAATAACACTTTTAGACGTACAAACAAATCTTACAAAACACAAACTGATTTGATAAAAAATGAATAGACGAGTGAATGAGTTTAGCTTTTTGTATTCACTATTTCATTCATTTTCTTGAATTCGGATTAACTTAACTATTAACACTTAAATGAAAAAGGAAATTCTGATAAAATTTAGCGAGACTTTATTTGCTAATTAAAATTTCAAAAAAAAAAAAAGGAATTTGGCATTTTTAAATAATAATACAGATATAGAAATAGAATAATAAATATTATAGATTCATATTCATATGGTAATGGTAGAACACAATACATTATAGAAAATAAATGAATATACGATTAAAATAATCATATTATTTTTCAAACTTAGAAGGCCCATTTTCTTTCTTTCCGTTAGAAAGGCATATTTGAAAATGTAACCGTTGGCTTCAAGACGAAACCAATCAACTAGCCGTTAGCGCGCCTTTCATTTTGCGAGAATTCACTTTAGTCCCTGTATTTTTTTTATTAACATCTAGTTTAAAATATTATCATTTCAATCCTTTTATTTAACGAACCGTTAGTTAGCCGTTAGGTTGACTTGAAAATTCTGCTAATAACGAAAATACCCTTATAAAAATAGTAAATGATACTAGTATGTAATATGTTTATCTAGTTGCTTAAATGGAAAGAGTTTGATTATATTAATATTTGGTTGGGTAATGTACTTTTATTATTTTCTTATAGTGATAGTTTTGTCATTTAATCATAAATTACAAAGCCAGGTAACAGTCAATTAGCGGTCATAAAAACTGTCCGTCAATTTAAAGAACCAAAATATTAGTATATGAAAAAAGTGTCCTTCCAGGTAGTACATCAAAACTACAGGGATACAAATGAATTGTCCCCCTTTCTCTTCTTTTCTTTTCATCTCCTCAAACCGGAAACCCTAACTAAATTAAATTTCACCAGAACTCATCGCATTCTACCAATATCAGACGCTACAATCGCTCCTTTTAAATTTCATTTTAATCCTGTAGCCCTTCTTCTTTACGTGCTGGGTTTAATAGAACAACTTGTAGTATCCGTGTTCTTTTCTTCCATTCTTGTTTGAAACAAACTCTAGTTTTCGTTTCTCGTTTCTTCACATATTTTTGTTCAAATAATGGCATCAAGAACAGTCGCTAAAGACATCATCACTCTACGCGGTTCGGCAGCCATTGTCAGCGAGTTTTTCGGTAGGCATTGAATTGTTTCGAACCTTTTAGTGACTTTCGTTAATCTGACATCTTTATTTTTATCAGCAAGATTTTTTTGGGTTTAGAGAAATTTCTGGCTGATGTTTTTGCTTTTGTTTGAACCCATTTTCAGGTTATGCGGCAAACAGGTAGAAAGATTCGATCTTGATTCTTGATTCTTGAAATAATATTTTATTATTATTATTTTTTTTGTGATGATGTAATTTTGGGTCTAGAAATAGAAAGTGATTATTTTGAGTGGTGAATTGTGTCTAGTATACTCTACAATCGTGGAGTTTATCCAGAAGAAAGTTTTGTCAAAGTGAAGAAATATGGGCTCCCGTTGCTGCTTACTCAAGATGAGGGTGTTAAATCCTTCATAGCCAACCTTACGGCTCAGCTTTCAGGTATTTTTGGTTGCTAAAAAAATGTTCGGAAAGTCAAATCAGTCTGTGATGTTTCTTTCATGTCCTTAAATACTGAAATAGAAACCGTCATTCCTTGCAATCTATTGCATTTGACTGACTGACTTGAAGTGTTTGTTTGGTTTTTTAATGACTGAATGTTTGATCTTTAATTTTTCTATAGAGTGGCTGGAAGCTGGTAAGTTACAGAGGGTTGTTCTAGTAATAATGAGCAAGGCCAACAATGAGGTTTTAGAGAGGTGGAATTTCAGTATTGAGACAGATGGTGAGGTTGTTGAGAAGGGGTAAGTGTTGATTTTATCTGCTTGCTTACTGGCCTTGGTCCTTAGAAGTTGCTGATTTGTTACCTGAATGTGAATCTGATTTTGCCTCTTCAGTGTGTCAAGGGAAAAGAGTGACAAAGAAATTATGAGAGAGATACAAGCAATCATGAGACAGATTGCCTCAAGCATTACTTACTTGCCATGCCTTGATGAATCCTGTAAGGACCGTTAGATTATTCATCTATGAGCATGTGTGCTTACAAAGCAATTCTTTTGAGAGAGTCTTCTGATTAAATTCCTTATGCCTTGTTTTTGTACTAGGTGTGTTTGATGTGTTAGCATACACTGATAAAGATGTTGCAGTTCCATTCACTTGGGTTGAGAGCGACCCCAAGCTGATTGCAAATCCGCAAATGGTGAAATTGCATTCATTTGATACCAAGGTAATTAGTCTGTAAGTGTGATTATGATTGAATTCAAATGAAGAAGTTTTGTTGATTTAATTAATTTCTCTCTTTGGTTATGCAGATACACAAGGTTGACACTCTTGTATCATACAAGAACGATGAATGGGATGAGCAATAGAGTGCCGCCAAAGGATCTTTTCTTTCTGCAGCAACATTTTGTTTCACTAGTGTACTGTGAATCTTTCTATTCACATTTTGTTATCGCTAGGTTGGTATGGAAGAAAATGACTAATCATGTACTTCGATTTAAGAAGGCTCCGTGTGTCTGTCAACCAAAGAACAAAGAAGAAACATGAATTTCTTGTAGATCAAGTCGGAATTCTCGTTTTTAATTTTCGTTGGAGGAATTGGACTTGGAGCTTTAGGCGTGAGATTATTAAATGACAATTTCGCATGTTTGTCTTTACAAAATCGAAAAATGAATCTGTTGCTTTAAGTTCATTTGAGTTGATAATGTACTGCATCCCCATGTTTCAATTTCTTCAATGCAGAATTGAAACGCCTTTAAATTCATAATTGGCACACATGCTGAATTTCAAGTATTGCCAAAATAATACTGTTTTATTTGCATGCAATTTTATCTAGCAGTTTATCAGGTTTCCACTGAAAGTACTACTAGCAGGTTTATCAAGTAATTCCAACTACTAATAAAGGGAGAGTAACGACATGGATTACATTTAGCTTCCACTGAAAGTACATATTTACAGATATTGAAAGAACAGAGAGTTCTGCCAGAGGCTTGGTCCATGTCCTACCCAAAAACATAAAACAAAACTATATACAATTGAGCCATTTAGTTCCAGATGGGCTCTCTAGACGTGTACATGTTTACTACCCTCAAGAGCACTGTGAGCACATATGAAAATTACACAGTCTATATGTCAAGATGAAGTTGCCTGCTTTCAAGTTGCGCCTCTGTATATTGCGCCAGGTCGAAGATCATCCATGCTATCAATATTTCTGTATCCATCAAACTCTCTGAGACATGTCCAGCCACGACGAACCAGAAAAACACGGTAATCCTCTTCTGTGTAAAACGTTTTATCTTCGGTATGCACTGGTATGTGATCTGACTCATCATAGAGGCACACTTTAATTGACAATCCTGAACATCACAGTTTCACACCAGTTTCACATCAACAGGATAGGCAATACTTCCATTTTTCTGCATCTCTAATCTATTACTTGAGACAAATTATGACATTGTTAATTATAGAAGACATAGGTTTACCTTCATCAAGGTGAAGAGTGTAATTCCCTAGAGGCATGTCCCTGTCAATACTCCGAACTATCTGATCTTCATCCTCCAACCAAAATGCACGTTTAGTTCTTATCCCAAAAGCAGACTTGATTGCCTCCTTGATAGCATCTGCAGTACCATCAATACCAATCCTTCTCGTATAATCCCCACATTTTACTGATATAACCCTCCCAACATATGACTGAGCATCCCCACCTGCCAAAAACGGATAACAAAATATCAGCATAAAAAACAGCACAAGCATTGAATTCTCATCTCAAAAACAAGGATTGAGAGCGAAAGCTCTGGATCAATACCACAGGCATTAATCAGATTCATTGAGGCAAAGTATTAAGAGTGCTCTATTCCACAGAGCTCACATTATTGTTTTCTCGATAAAGGACAGCACATGCAAAGCATACAGCCATGGTCATGCTTAGAAAATTCAGCACCTTTAGGCAAAATAAGTTCTAATGAACTTTCAATTTACAAATTTTACCATTTCCAGGTGGGGTGTCCCTCCAGTTCCAAGGAGGAACTCCGGTGGCAGCAACAGCATCAGCTGTGGTAATAGCAAGAGGATGTCCCTCATGATCTAGACGTCTTTCAAGATTGAGTGTCGGCCTGCCACTAGCTGCACACCAAAAAACTTAAACAGGAGGGAAAGCATATCTCATTTAATTTAAGATAAATCAATTGAAAAAGCACACAAGATATATGAGTAATATACAAATGAAACTCATAGCAATCCAAGAACCTTGTGAACAACATGTGAGACAAGGGGAGACTAGCTGCCATATACTTTGAAGATCTTCCTAGAGGAGATGATTTATTTTTTTCAACCTACTAGATTCTTGCCTGCTCTTAGAATGAATTATATTGTGTTTTAGTGCTTAGTTGGCTTAGCCCACCCGATATATTAAAAACAAAGAAAAGATAGAAAGATCAAGTTCCAGAAAAGTCTTATATATTGATGCTGTAGATTACTCAATTTTCAGTTCAAGCTGCCAAATAAGCAAGTCTAGCAAGAGAATGCCCAAGTCCCTATACGAATGTATTTAATATATCACTTAACCAAAAATCTTATTGTTATCTTCTTCCCCCAAGTTTCTATACTTCTTCCCCCAGAGGAAGCCCTTCAGTTTCTTTTTATCCTTTAAACAGATTAGTTATTCTTATAATCTTCTCCTAGATTTCTCTACTTCTCCCCAACTTTAACATAAGGAAGGCTTTGGTTATCTTTTATTCATGAGAATTGATTGGTTAAAATGAAAGGAGCTGCTAAAACAAGCAAGGAAACTCCCTCACAGACTTCGACCAACATTTACTATAATAAAGCATCCGTGTACCAAGCGAAAGGTGAAGATGTTGTAAGCACAACAAGAAAGGAGTAATTTGAAGAAACAGCACAAGACAGAGAAATAAGAGACTTCTTATGAAGATTTTAATTTCCAGGGGAGTTAACTTCATAAGATTTTAAGTGGCAACTTAGTTGAGGTCCTCAATATCGGCAAAGACTCTAACTATACTGAACAGAGATTCCTTTAATAAACGGAATGTAATGATTGAGAATTCAGAGATTAGGCAGCAAACAGAAAGAGATACTTTGTAGAAGTTTAACTACCGCTTACAAAGTGGTCAGATATACAAATACATAGCTGCATTAAAAATTGCTGCTTTCAATAAGTTCATTCATTAATCCAAATTACAAAAAAGGAATGCCAAGAACTCAAATTAGAATACCATACCTTCCACAGGACCAAATGATATACTAGCATCATCAAAACCTGCATAAAGAGCCAACAATTTTTGTGAATTGTTGCATAATATATGAAAAAAGATTTTACTATTATTGCCAGTGCATAAAAGGATACACAAATAAATTTATCTACAAGAAACTTCAGCACACAACCCAAACAGAGTAATATAATAAAGTTGACACTAGTTATAGCGTCTTTAAAAGGCAGGTGTTGGTAATCTTTCCTCCCAAATCCAACTTTGCAAAATCATAAACATCTCACAATACTAAGCATTCAAAAAACCTAAATCAGATGATATGAGAGATTTGATCATTCAAAACAAAAGCATTTAAAGAAAGCATAATAAGCTAAAAAGTGTTGGCAAGGCTATGATTTAACACCTCTATGCTTCAATACACAGAAACCTAAATATGGCATCTCGTTCTGGAGCCAACACAGAGCATACAGATGACACAAACAAGTCAAAAGAAGCATGCCCAAAATTAATAACTTGTGCACCTAACTCACTGAACCAAGTTTCCCTCAGGAATACACCCGCCAATAGCTCCTTAGGAGAGTATGACGCATGAATTGACCTCTTAAATCATTTTCTAAACTTTATCAAATTTACATTCACCTATTGGTAAAAAAGAGAGGGTTTACACAGTGTTAAAGCAGAAAGACCGGCCAACCACAAGTAATTTATTGGGGTTTTCCTACTACAAATGTAGCCTCAGTAGTCAAATAAACAGTAAGTTTTCACCAATCCAAAGTTTTGGAGACATAGGGGAAAGGTCAAGGCTGCTTAAAAAAATGAGAAAAATGCTATTTCTCCATTACACAGGAGGACAAAGAAGAGTGCACCTACGCAATCTGAAAATCAGCTTTATATCAAGGATGTAATCCATGATCCCAAAGATAATAGGCCACCTGCACAAATACCTCTGATATAGGAAAAAAAAGATATTAATTTGGGTTGTGCAAGTCAGTTCAAAGTCCTTTATATCATAAATGAACAGATATCATAGTCAGTAGAGCAAGCAAAGATGGGTGAAGGGTGGGTGGAACTGTTTTTACTTCCCCATCCCCACCCTTCCACTCTGCCAAGCCCATTCACCATCCCTGTCACACATGCCGGAAGCGAGACACAGAACAACCACTATGCTGCTCCACCCTGAAACTAAAACAAACATCTACTTACTAGTTCAAGACTACAATCTGCCCAACCAGTCCACGAAACTCATATATAACAAGCAGTCCAACAGCAAAGCATCCCAAATTGACAAATCTTCACCTCAGCCAACAGCGTGCTACAGTAATTCCACCAAATTCAGGCTCAGCTCCAGAGAATGTTGCAAGAATTAAAAGATCTCTAAACTTATAGAGAGATTTTGAAGAAATAGAACAAGAAGTGAAGAGGAAACTTTTAGATCAAAATTGAATGTCAAGCAGTCTTGCCTCTGAAATACATGAGATGTTGATAGACGGATACAGCAAGAGAGAGAGAAAGCAGGGAAAGAGGACAGTTGACTAACACTAAAAATTTAATAAGACAGCTATAAGGACAAAATGGGAAATTTATTAAAGGACCATTATCATATATAATTGCTGGCTCGAGAGTCCTAAATCCATTTCTACCCTGAAACCAGATGAGGTTTTAGATCAATTCCCATCCCACCAGAGGGTGTACTGGGCCCCTGATTTGGCGGGTAAATTGTCATCGACAGGAAAGGGAATAGCTCTGACTAAAAGAACCGCATTGGCAGCAATAGGTCAATTATGCAAGAATACCAACAAATTACATAAAAGTTAGCCTCTAGTAACCATTCAAAGCCTCCTCCTTGGTCACTGCAGTGTCTCCATTATCCAGATATTTATTAGTATGTACACAATCATTATTATTATTTATAGCATGCTCACAGATATAAACATGTTTCTCATCTAGAGGACTATCTAAACCAAGCAGTATCCTTTAGCTGGTAATTAAACAGCTCCCTCATCCTTCATGGAGCTTTGACATTTCAAATTACAGAAGAAAAATCACAAACAGCCAGCAAGTTATATAAGTGAATATGAGATTAGGCAACATGTCACAGAACACAATACATCGGCCATCTTCTTTGTTCTGGAACAATTAATTGATTAAATAAAACTTTCTTCATCTTTCCTCATTTTTTTACTTCACAAATGCAATAGAAGAAAATGATTGAAACTTATTAAAGTTTTTGATGGCATGAAGTGGACAAAGGACATGACATATCAAAAAACTAATATAAATAAGAAATTTACACATTTTATAATCTAGATTTTAACACTCACTAAACGTAACCACCTCTCGTTGATTATAGGATAATTGCCTTGCATTTAAAAGTAGACACTGAAATTCTTACCTTAAGAGAGCAAAGCACAAACTTGTGACATTTTAAGTTGCATACAAAATAAAATTTGTATACTAATTACCACCATCATCAATGTTGTAATTACCACCATCATCCATGTTGTAGTAAAGTTGATTATGTATCACGATTTTGTTTCTCTATACTTTTTTAAAGAAATCGCACAGCTTTGCACATTATATACTTATTCATATTCCGCCCCAAAAATGGGAAAATTTCCATTCTAACATGGACATTGTTAGTTAAAGAAAGATAAATCTTCTGAAGACATCTAATTCACTCCAGTCAATCAAACCCATTTTTGACAAGCATAAATTCAACATACCTAAATTACAAAAAACACACCCATTTCAAACTTTGTAAAAGAATAACTTTTAACAGATCCAATTTTCATCCACGATTAGCAAAATCCAGAGTCTAAAAGTTCTATTCGCATGCAGTAATATATCACAAGTTTAACAATACAATCAAGCAGTACCGAACCAAACGCACCCAAAAGCCAAAACTTTTGCAAGAAATTCAACAACCCATCTCCAGTTCCCCAAAACCCATCACCAAAAAAGCCTTAAGAAACAAAAACCAGTAAAGTTTATACCTTTATCAGAGAACTGCATATAAGTTTCAACCTTATTAGCAGAATTACTAGAAACATTAGAGGTCTTGTACTGTGCATTCTTGCTTCTCTCCTTCAAAATCTCATCAATCTCCTTATAATAAGACATCTTGGCGGAGCCACTACCTCGTTCTTGATGCTTAGCTTTCTTAAACTCCTTCAAAAGATTCCTCCACTTATCGGTACACATGGTTGGGGACCTGTCAAAACCCTTCTCTCTCATCTTTGCAGAAATTTGTTCCCACAAGTGCTTATTAGACTTGGATGTGTTAAAAAGACCATCCATTTCTCTCCGAAACGCAATAAGGATCCGGGTTTCATCTTGAACCCAAGTCTCGGCTCGTTTCTTGGGAGCTTTAACTTCATGGTCCTCACCGCCGCTACTATCTCCTAGAATCATTTGCTGAGGAGGCAAGTCGCCATTGGAAGTGACCTCGATGATCATGTCACGGGCGGTGGCCCCTGCGGCTTCATCTTTGTAAAAATCAATGGGGCGAGGCTTTTCAGACAAGTACATGATGATGGTGTTGGGAGTTTTAAAGAGATTAAAAAAAGGGATTGATTGGAATTTATCTAGTTTTGGTAAAAACTAAAAAAAAATTCAGCGAAGGTGCGAATGGAAGCAGAAAAGAGAGAGAAAGAGAAAGCGTCAAGTAAAAGCTTAGTGAATGATTAGCGAAGAAAGGGGGATGCCGATGCGATCACTTGAAGTGGACTTCTCTACTCCCCCTTCCCTTCCCTTCTACTTATCTACTTTGTATAATAATACAAATTCCATGTATTTTTTTATACACAATAATTAATTATGTTAATCTATAAATAATTACTTAATTAAATAAATTTTTATGTCATTGTTTTGTTAATTCTTTCATATCCTAAATTCTCCTACTTATTAATATATTTTATCAATAATCTTATTGTGTATTTGGGTTATCACAATATTCTTGAGTGAAATAATAAAGATTACAAACATGTAAAAATAAATCAAGTATTTAATCAATTGTTTATAATTCAATGATTAAAATTTAATATGTCAATGGGTGAACCTATGTCCCACCCAAATTATGGTTTAATAGTCAATGTATGCAGAGAAAACCTATGTCCGCATATCGAGATAGAACGGCAGCGTTTCCATTTAGAATTCCGATTTCCGAAAATTTGCGACTGCGACCTTCAAGTGAAATGGTAAGAATGCTCATTATTTAGCTAGCCCCAGCTCAGCTCCCTGTCGCTGTGATTCTGAAGAGTTACAGATTTTAGATTTTTAAGAGTTAAATAATTATTTTGGACTTTGGAGCCAAACCCTAAATGCCTAAGAATATCTACACAGTTTCAAGGCAAAGCCCAGTTAAATGTAAGTTAGATTGATACCAAAAACGGAGAGATGATGATGCAAGTCTCCTCAACTCAATCAAGAGCAAGAGGAATACCCTTTTCAACTCTTTCACTTTCATCTCCTACCATCATCAGTTCTAGCAACTCCAGGTCTCTTTCAGGTATTTTATCAAACTCCTTCCAAGTAATATAGTTCAATTTATTTTTTTGTCACCTGTTAACTGTGTTGTAGTTAACTTTATTTGAGTTTTTTTGAGACTTGGGTTTTTCTTCTTTTTGGTGTTTGTTTTCTTTTTCATTGTTTCTTCGTGCCCATTTTAGAGCCGCGTTATTGTTTTTGTCCATTGTTCACTATCTTATCCATCCGGCTAGGAATTTTATCATGTTCAAGTCGTTTTTGCTGGAAATCATGTATTTTATTCTGAGTTTTCTGGTCGACTGCAGTTAGTGTTTTCATGATAAAGATTTGCCTTTTATAGTCATATCTATGCCAATCATTTTGATGGGATTGGTCCTTAGGCTGCAATTGAGAACGCATTGTTTTAAAGCTCTGTACTTGATCAACTGGGGACTACATACAAAGGGGTGAGCATTCGCAGTTAGAAGTTTTTGTGTTGATGTGATTTTATGTCTCGTTCTCCTTTCTTTGGATTGGTCAACTTCTCAGACACTAGGAATTGGAGTCCTTTGGTGGGGAAAAGAGTGGATATTCAATTGTGTTGACAGAAGGTTCCATTACGCATCCTTACAGGAGGTTCCATTACGCATCCTTGATTGTTAAATATAATTTCTCTAACCTAACATGTTGGTCACTTAACTAATAGGAGAAGAATGATTTGCAATATGATTTGGGACCATGCAACAAGTTCATTTGTATCTGAGAAAAGAAAATAGCATATAATGCCAGCAATGACTGATACACAATGTGTTTTCCCCCCTAAAGAAAATGTTTTCTTAAATTACAGCCTTATTATTGATCAAGCTTTTATGGTAGACAAAATATTTGTCGAGGAAAGTTATGTTTCTTTAAATGTTTGATCCCTGAATTTTCAACTAATCTTTCAAACAGTGTGTAGCTTTTGTAGGACCTTTCAGCCAAATAAAGTCACCATCAACTGCCTGATCCTCTCAGCAATGAGCAATGCCTGCATAACTAGATTCAGCAGGATTCACCATAAAGCAGTGACACCATTTTCCTCAAAGACAAGGCATGAAAATGGAATATGCAGAAAATTTTCAACCTGCACAGCACCATTGATATCTAAAACTGCCCCTCTCATTGTCCGTAGTCCCTCATCACTAGTGGTGGTTTCCAGCCTTACCCCAAATGATACACTCCAGCGGTCTGATGAATGGTTTGCACTTAGAAGGGACAAGCTGACTACAAGCACCTTCAGTACTGCCTTGGGTTTTTGGAAGGGAAGCCGTCGAGCTGAGCTCTGGCATGAGAAAGTATTTGCCTCTGAGGTACAACCTATTGAAGGTTCTAAAAGGTTTGCTATGGAATGGGGTGTGCTCAATGAAGGGGCAGCTATAGACAGATACAAAAGCATCACTGGTCGTGATGTGAGCTCATTAGGATTTGCAGTCCATGCAGAGGAGCGATTAGGTTGGGTTGGAGCTTCCCCAGATGGTCTTCTTGGTTGCTTTCCAGGAGGTGGCATCCTAGAAGTGAAGTGCCCATATAACAAGGGAAAGCCTGAAACTGCTCTGCCCTGGTCAACCATGCCTTTCTATTACATGCCTCAGGTGCAGGGCCAAATGGAGGTGATGAACAGAGAATGGGTTGATTTGTATTGCTGGACACCAAATGGAAGCACAATATTTCGCATTTGCAGGGAGCGTGACTACTGGGAGCTAATACATGGGGTTTTGCATGAGTTTTGGTGGGAAAATGTAATTCCTGCCAGGCAAGCTCTGGCTATGGGGAGGGAAGAGGAGGCTAAGTCATATAAACCGACATCCACGCATAGACGGACAGGGCTTGCAATTGTTAAGAGCATGAAATTGGCCACTGAGGCCAAGTTATTGTGTAGGGAGATTGCAGGTCATGTTGAATTTTTCAGATGATGGTTCCAAACTGAAAAGGTTGGGCAACTGATTCTGTTTTGTTGTTCCTTAATTTAATTTTTAAACCATTGGCTTCCAAATGGTTACTGTATATTTTTAAAATTATTGAATTCTCATTGATAAGAAAATTTACTGTTTCTTAACAGAATCCTTCAATTAAGAGTGGGGATCAATTTTAGCTCCTATTTGTTGTTATCATTGACTATATCTAGTGAAGGAATAGACTGAAAATTTTAACATGTAAAAATAAATCAAGTATTTAATCAATTGTTTATAATTCAATGATTAAAATTTAATATGTCAATGGGTGAACCTATGTCCCACCCAAATTATGGTTTAATAGTCAATGTATGCAGAGAAAACCTATGTCCGCATATCGAGATAGAACGGCAGCGTTTCCATTTAGAATTCCGATTTCCGAAAATTTGCGACTGCGACCTTCAAGTGAAATGGTAAGAATGCTCATTATTTAGCTAGCCCCAGCTCAGCTCCCTGTCGCTGTGATTCTGAAGAGTTACAGATTTTAGATTTTTAAGAGTTAAATAATTATTTTGGACTTTGGAGCCAAACCCTAAATGCCTAAGAATATCTACACAGTTTCAAGGCAAAGCCCAGTTAAATGTAAGTTAGATTGATACCAAAAACGGAGAGATGATGATGCAAGTCTCCTCAACTCAATCAAGAGCAAGAGGAATACCCTTTTCAACTCTTTCACTTTCATCTCCTACCATCATCAGTTCTAGCAACTCCAGGTCTCTTTCAGGTATTTTATCAAACTCCTTCCAAGTAATATAGTTCAATTTATTTTTTTGTCACCTGTTAACTGTGTTGTAGTTAACTTTATTTGAGTTTTTTTGAGACTTGGGTTTTTCTTCTTTTTGGTGTTTGTTTTCTTTTTCATTGTTTCTTCGTGCCCATTTTAGAGCCGCGTTATTGTTTTTGTCCATTGTTCACTATCTTATCCATCCGGCTAGGAATTTTATCATGTTCAAGTCGTTTTTGCTGGAAATCATGTATTTTATTCTGAGTTTTCTGGTCGACTGCAGTTAGTGTTTTCATGATAAAGATTTGCCTTTTATAGTCATATCTATGCCAATCATTTTGATGGGATTGGTCCTTAGGCTGCAATTGAGAACGCATTGTTTTAAAGCTCTGTACTTGATCAACTGGGGACTACATACAAAGGGGTGAGCATTCGCAGTTAGAAGTTTTTGTGTTGATGTGATTTTATGTCTCGTTCTCCTTTCTTTGGATTGGTCAACTTCTCAGACACTAGGAATTGGAGTCCTTTGGTGGGGAAAAGAGTGGATATTCAATTGTGTTGACAGAAGGTTCCATTACGCATCCTTACAGGAGGTTCCATTACGCATCCTTGATTGTTAAATATAATTTCTCTAACCTAACATGTTGGTCACTTAACTAATAGGAGAAGAATGATTTGCAATATGATTTGGGACCATGCAACAAGTTCATTTGTATCTGAGAAAAGAAAATAGCATATAATGCCAGCAATGACTGATACACAATGTGTTTTCCCCCCTAAAGAAAATGTTTTCTTAAATTACAGCCTTATTATTGATCAAGCTTTTATGGTAGACAAAATATTTGTCGAGGAAAGTTATGTTTCTTTAAATGTTTGATCCCTGAATTTTCAACTAATCTTTCAAACAGTGTGTAGCTTTTGTAGGACCTTTCAGCCAAATAAAGTCACCATCAACTGCCTGATCCTCTCAGCAATGAGCAATGCCTGCATAACTAGATTCAGCAGGATTCACCATAAAGCAGTGACACCATTTTCCTCAAAGACAAGGCATGAAAATGGAATATGCAGAAAATTTTCAACCTGCACAGCACCATTGATATCTAAAACTGCCCCTCTCATTGTCCGTAGTCCCTCATCACTAGTGGTGGTTTCCAGCCTTACCCCAAATGATACACTCCAGCGGTCTGATGAATGGTTTGCACTTAGAAGGGACAAGCTGACTACAAGCACCTTCAGTACTGCCTTGGGTTTTTGGAAGGGAAGCCGTCGAGCTGAGCTCTGGCATGAGAAAGTATTTGCCTCTGAGGTACAACCTATTGAAGGTTCTAAAAGGTTTGCTATGGAATGGGGTGTGCTCAATGAAGGGGCAGCTATAGACAGATACAAAAGCATCACTGGTCGTGATGTGAGCTCATTAGGATTTGCAGTCCATGCAGAGGAGCGATTAGGTTGGGTTGGAGCTTCCCCAGATGGTCTTCTTGGTTGCTTTCCAGGAGGTGGCATCCTAGAAGTGAAGTGCCCATATAACAAGGGAAAGCCTGAAACTGCTCTGCCCTGGTCAACCATGCCTTTCTATTACATGCCTCAGGTGCAGGGCCAAATGGAGGTGATGAACAGAGAATGGGTTGATTTGTATTGCTGGACACCAAATGGAAGCACAATATTTCGCATTTGCAGGGAGCGTGACTACTGGGAGCTAATACATGGGGTTTTGCATGAGTTTTGGTGGGAAAATGTAATTCCTGCCAGGCAAGCTCTGGCTATGGGGAGGGAAGAGGAGGCTAAGTCATATAAACCGACATCCACGCATAGACGGACAGGGCTTGCAATTGTTAAGAGCATGAAATTGGCCACTGAGGCCAAGTTATTGTGTAGGGAGATTGCAGGTCATGTTGAATTTTTCAGATGATGGTTCCAAACTGAAAAGGTTGGGCAACTGATTCTGTTTTGTTGTTCCTTAATTTAATTTTTAAACCATTGGCTTCCAAATGGTTACTGTATATTTTTAAAATTATTGAATTCTCATTGATAAGAAAATTTACTGTTTCTTAACAGAATCCTTCAATTAAGAGTGGGGATCAATTTTAGCTCCTATTTGTTGTTATCATTGACTATATCTAGTGAAGGAATAGACTGAAAATTTAATATGTACTTATTTTTCCATGATTCTTGGCCCTTTTGAAGTGTGATGTATATAAAGAATTTGACCATAAAGAATTTGATGGTTCCCAGTACTTGATTCATAAATGTAAGGTTAGGCTTGAATATAGATCTTTAGTTTTTTAATTACAATGCAGACCAAGTCAACATTCTTTCAAGAAAGGGCAGTCTTTGTGCCCAAAATATCCTTTTCTTTTAAAAGAAAAATCACTGTTCACCCGTATAGAAGGATATGACCTAATTAAGTATCGGTTAAAGACAGATTCCTGAGTCAACCGTCTAAAATAACCAAACATCACCAAATTTGTTCTTACTGGTAGAACATGCATACTGTCAGAAGATTGTCTAATAACCGATAAAATTAAAAATCCAAAGTTGTTAGTTAATCTAATATTAGCTAACTCTTTACCAAACTTCCCAGTTGAGATAAAAGGAACTATTCATAGCTGCTTTTAAGTGTTAAAATAAGCAAGTTTGCTTAAAAGTTTTACATTAGATTTAAAAAGCTGTTTATTCAAGCAAGAAATCTGAGAAGAGATGGATTCTGGGTTATCCTGGGCTGATCAATGGGATAATGACAACTATGACCCTCCAGCATCTGGTTCAGAAAAAAACAAGAAGAATGAAAAAGATGGATCTAAGAACAAGTCTGTGAAGGGATTGTTAAGCCTCAAATGGATAAAAGAGCTCCGCAAGAAATCTAAAAAATAATCCGACTTTGTTGTTCATTCACCAATCAAAGGTCATTCCGATCCGATCCTATCTCATCCCAGTTCACCTAAATTGTTATTCACCATAATTCAGACTTTATTTCTCTTGTAATTGTATTTTGTAAGATGTTATATTGCTATTGGAGATAACAAATGATGTAAGCAAGGAAATGTGCAAATATGTTTCAGATTTTGTGGAATGTTACAAGAATCTATCAATGCCTTTTGTTAGTGATATAAACATGGATGTATTTAACAACTTTAATGAGACAGATCAATTATGTTTGCCCAAGAGCTTTTGACATGTTTAAAATCAATTCTTAAGAGAAATAATTAGTGATCATTTAAATCTCTTCTTATGAAAAAAAAAAAATAAGTGATTCACTATGTTCTTTGGAAAAAAGAATACCCAAANAATGAAAAAGATGGATCTAAGAACAAGTCTGTGAAGGGATTGTTAAGCCTCAAATGGATAAAAGAGCTCCGCAAGAAATCTAAAAAATAATCCGACTTTGTTGTTCATTCACCAATCAAAGGTCATTCCGATCCGATCCTATCTCATCCCAGTTCACCTAAATTGTTATTCACCATAATTCAGACTTTATTTCTCTTGTAATTGTATTTTGTAAGATGTTATATTGCTATTGGAGATAACAAATGATGTAAGCAAGGAAATGTGCAAATATGTTTCAGATTTTGTGGAGTGTTACAAGAATCTATCAATGCCTTTTGTTAGTGATATAAACATGGATGTATTTAACAACTTTAATGAGACAGATCAATTATGTTTGCCCAAGAGCTTTTGACATGTTTAAAATCAATTCTTAAGAGAAATAATTAGTGATCATTTAAATCTCTTCTTATGAAAAAAAAAAAATAAGTGATTCACTATGTTCTTTGGAAAAAAGAATACCCAAATATGAAAATATTTGACCAATGTTTTCTTCTATGCATATCGCTATCAAAAATTAGTCTGAATATTTTATAGCACACTATCACATTACAACTTTGCATCATCTGTCATCCGTGCGGATGAGGCCAAACCCAATCCATCTGCTTGGCAGCTCAAAATTTTATCCAAGGCAACCATCAACTTCTGTTGATATTAAAGACCATGCTGGATATCAAGCTGTAACATAGAATGTGGTGAAGAAGACAATTTATTGCATTCCATATAAATATCTTTGACATCATTCGATGCACGGTTTCAACTTTGATGCACAATAACAAACTCTAATAACATTCTTTTCTCATGAAAACTTATTGCATACAGATACAGTTTTGACATCTATAGATGATTCTGACATAATCTTCCTCAATGGGAAAAACAAATACAAATAGACACTTTTAAAGAAAACACCGATCACCAAGGATGGTAAAAACAAGTTGTACTCCTACAATTAAAGTAGCAAGCAGCCAGGGACAAAGAAAATAAATGATGTACGCCTTCAACAGGCAGGAGCGGAGAAGTCCTGCAAGATAAGCGTCCATCAAAAACAGCGCATCCCTGAACAGTATTGCATAAAGAGCAGCCCACATCACAAACTACTGCATGGCAACAAGATTGATCACTACAGATTTTTCAAGCGCTGCACAGGTAGCAATTAGATGAACACTTGCTAAAGCAAGGCACATAAAATACAAGCAGAATAATAGACATCATAGTACAACAGACAAGTCACGTGGACATGTCAATAAGATCACATCCCACTTCATCGTCAATTCACATGTCAGTTCCAATCCATGAGCAAACCAGCATACTCTTCAGTGGACTTTATTAACTGCTAATAACAATTGTTAGGAACCACCCAGACATACGATCCCTTTGTCCTGAACATCATGTCAATCGAAACCTTTGCCTTCTTCACATTCTCATGAGTTACAATTATTAGGAACGACCCAGACGTGAGATCCCTTTTCCCTTAACACATTAATAAAGAAATTAAACCTCCTTGCTAACATTCTCTCAAGTATTACTTCATTTTTTATTTCTTCTATTTCTTTTTTTTCCCCTCTTTCCACAAAAATATAATGGTATGCAGCTTACTCCAAACGCAACACAAAAGTTAATGTCCGCCAATAAGCTGAACCTGACTCGGCTCGCAGACAAAGAAGGCAATAACAAGACAGAACGAGAAATATATGTTGTTGGTTGCTTCACTGGGTAACCAATCATGCAATTTCTCAACCATAAGTGAAACCAGAACACACAAACCATTATTAGTCCCTAGCCATGATGACAGAGGCCAGAACAAGGTTCATAAGAAACAGGAGATTTACTGGGTCCAATTCTTCTAACCTGCCTCTCTTGACACTTCAAGAGCTGCTTCCCACAATCTGAACAAAGCAACTGCAAACAAAATGTCTCCTCATATTCACTGTCATTAATGCATCGACCACATTGAGCACAGCGTGCTATGCAAAGTGTGCAAGCCCTGCATAGCTGAGTGATGTTTTCTTCCCCTTGACATCCCTCTGCAGGGCAATCATATACTAGCCTCAGGTTCAGGCATCTTGGGCACATTTCAATATCAATGGCACGTTCATCCTCACAGGATAGATAAAAATTTCCTCTGTGATAGAAATGTGGCTTGTGAACATTCGGGTGCATGGAACAATCAGTGCCCAATAAAAGCTTCAACTCTTCAAAGTGCTTTGGAGTCACACCATAGAGCCCACCAATTCTAAGATGCTTCACCCCTTTTGCACCCATGGACTTGAAAGCTTTTAAGCTATTAATAATGCCCTCAATACTGAGTCTAGTACATCCAGGCACACTCAGCTGCAAGAGGAGAATGAATTTAGCAGGTTGATAATAACAATAAAATAAATCTATAATTCAGGTGACATGAAGTTGCATGATGAAATGCTTCCAATCAGTTTTGCTGCCAGTCTAACGTGATAGATAGACAAAAACAAAAGGATAAAGTTTTCACACAAAAAGAAATATATATATCACACAGATATAAAGGTGCCGCATGCAATATAGTTAGATGACATCAAAAAACTGATCGAATCAGAACCATGTGACAGAGAAGCAACTTTTTCAAATCCTTAAGTTATCCATACACAGAGACCACAAAAATTAATTTCATACATACGTTACAAGCCTTCCCAACAAGGAAAATCCATTCCTGAACTGATAATAAATCCGCTAGAATTAAATTAACAAAACAAGTTAATTACATATTGTCATTTTTCTAACAAGACGGTGAATTACATAAACTCTTCCACATCTATAACTGATTTTTGACTTTCATAAAGCATTGCCCAAAAATTATCAGCGCTAGAATGGAGGACAAACCCACCAGAAACAGAAAAAATCCAAGGCATCAAATTTTTTACATAAAATTGTCATTATGTAGGAATAACTTGTCACCATAAATTCCAAATCATTAAGAAAATGTAAGATATAAGTAAAGAATAGGAAAATAAATAAAGCATAAGGACTCATACAACATCATCAAACAGCCCACACAACAACCTGGTAAGAAAAAATATTAATACTGAAAGTGACCCAAGAAATCATTAAGTTGGAAAGATGATATTCATAAATGAAAGATATATCTACAATATGCAGGAACTAATATTGGTTAAAAATAATCTAACCTTGGTTAGCCTTGGATTATTTTCAAGTACACGTTTCAGACCATCATCAGTAATTCTTAGACACTCCACCAGGCTCAAGCATTGCAAGTTACCTTGAGCCCTATTGGTTAATTGCAAAAGAACATCATCAGTAATCTTTTCATTCAATGGTTGATCTATGTGAATACTTCTCCACAAGAGAGGGTCACTCCTAACAGTAGAACAAAGAGACCTACAAACCCTTTCAACAAGAAGGAGATCCCGCATGCCCAGATAACCGAGGGCAAAATACAAAGCAGGATGAGGAGCCCCTCCCTCTTTATCATGATAGCTCCCATAACCCTCCTGCAATCCTTTAAATCGTTGATCACCATAACCCACATTCTCATTCCCATAACTCAAAATGTCATCCACATTACAAGCAGATTCAAGACTACCATGACAAGATGTCTCCCCTACGACCTCCTTCCCCAGAAAACACCCAGCAGATCCACTCACTACATTCAAATTATGCTCAAACCCCATGTTCCCAGGAAAACCCTGGAACCTCATAGCATTATTCCAGAAAAAATTCAATTCCGCAAGTAACTGACAATTCCCATCACTCGTCCCCACCTCATCCATCCCATAGCCACCATAATCCTCCAAATCCTCAAGCCAACCTGTAATTGCAGCAGTAAAAGTGGTACTGATATCCATGCCAAAGGGATCTGACGGCAGAAGGTCAAGAATGTCCTTTGATACAGACTCCTGAGACACACATCTATTACAACCCCTATCCCTTGCATTATCAAAACAGTCCTCCATTTCCCGATTCGAATGCCAATTCTTAAACCCATCTCCATTTTTCTCAGGAATTCCCTCAACAAGATACCCATTAGCAATCCTCATTGGGGCAACCATATTGTCCTCACTTAAATGTGTGGGAAAGATCGGTCGATGTGAAAAATTCAAAGCCATTGTATTGTATACAACCCTTCTCCCAAATCTTTCTATACAAAATATATGACACTGTACGCAAACCCTAAAAGTCTCTTCTCTTCTATTTTTTTTTTCCTTTTTGCTTAGGGATATCAAAAGAAAAAGAAAAACACGAAACAATTGAAAAAAAAATATAAAACAAAAGAAGATTAAAACAAAAATTCAGAAGATCTAAATCTAACAAGAAAACCCTCGATTTTGGATGGCAAACTAAAACAACGCACCAAAAATTTCACGGAGTTTCTCGTAAAAGAAAAGAAGCTAATATATTTGAGCTAAGCAAAATGAACAACAGAAAACCCTCTAACAAATATTTATACAAAGAATCAATCAAAATGAGAAAAAATTTCTTTTTTTTTTCTTTTTTGTCTTCTTTTCCTTGGACTAACCTAATCAAAAGCTAGGGTTTGCAACAAATCTAAAACGTAAAAGCGCAGAAAATGAATAAGCTAAATAAAATAAAATTAAAAGATAAGATTACCACCAAAAGATAACCCTAATTTGACCTCCCACGAACGCAATCGACAGATAAAGCCAAGTCTCTTGGTATCGAATACAATGGCTTTCTCGATGTAAAACGGGGAGTTTTGTGATTCTTTTCGGTGTCTCGGTTGGTAGAAGAGAATTCGATCGGAAGAGAAGGTGGGTTGAGTCTGTCGACCGAGTTCAAGAGACAACAAAGGAAAAGAAATAAAAGAGACAGAGAAATTACACAGAAAGGAAACAAAATAAATTTTTTATTTTATTTTTTTTTTTTCTTTGAGTTTGCAGGGGAGAGAGAGAGAGAAAGTGAAGGCTAACGGTGAATTGTCCGATTTAGGTGAGGGAGTAGGCTAAGGGAGATGTCGACACGTGTCATTTAGTTAATAATAGGGTTACTTTTTCTTCGCAGTGAGATGTGGCGGGAGATGGAATCAGGAATCCCGCTATGCTGTGCGTTTCGATTTTACTCCTAATCTCCCGGTCTATGTTGCGATCATTTCACTCTTTTGTGGCCCGTTCGATCTTTATCAGACGACTGGGGAGTGGGGAGTAACTCATCCGGCGGTTTTGGAGTGACTTACAGGATAAAATTGGGTGTGAGTGTACAAGTGAATTGAAGGTCAGCGATTGTGATGAATGTATGATCCGGGCCCATAACAAGCTGTGACTCTATCTAGACTTATCTGAATAAGATCCGACCCGTATATGAGTAATAACTAATAAGGAAGATTAATCAAGAAGGGACATATTTGATATTTCACTTCGTGGTTGGTTGGGGAATATTCTTTGGTTTTGGTCAGCTTATGAAACCAACGCCGTCTTAATGTTTAAGCACTCTTAAAAGTGAAAGTAACTAATTTGGACGGATAATAATTAATAATTTGTTGGATTTGACTAAGCAAAAGGAAGAAAGTTGGTTGGTTGGAATTTGGACGGATGGACAGTGAACTCCAAGCACAATTTTCAATCTCGTCTTGAGCTCCACCAAAGTCCAATTTTACGACGCATAATATATTCATACAGAGGAAATTAGTATAATTACCACAACCCCTGCAAGAAAGAATTTCTTGTTTCACACTTTGTGTAAGTATTTGCCCAAGGAATCGTTCCTAACTTAAAATTTTTAATAAACTCCTCTCTCAAGTATTCACAAAGCAATTCTTCACGGCAAAGTTAGAGATGGCTTTGCATAGCCACTACATGGGAATAACACCACTCAACCTACAGGAATCTCAATTATGTTCCCAAGCTTCTAATAAAATGTAAAAATATTCAAAATATTTAACTAAAATTATGGTTCCTTCACGATTAATTCCTAGACTTCTTTCTTGACGACTTGGATGAAGCCTTGGATTGCTGTCCAGCATTCTGTGAAGCTCCTTTGGAACTACTAACATGTTGAATTGGAAGGATTAGATTAGTACCGAGGCACCAGCTTCATGTCTGTCTTTAGCAACTGCACCCTGAGAGCCTCTCACTTGAACAGCTCTCTTATCCTTTCTCTTGGCCTGTAACTTGACCCTCTCTCTCCTGGGAGCCACCTTTCTGGGTCTGGTGGAGGACCGGGTTGCAGGGTCAATCCTTTGTGTACCTTGGCTTTCTCTTTCTCTTTTTCTTCGGTTTCTCCCTCCTCCTTCCTCATGTGCTTCAGGGACAACATGAGCACGCCTTCAACATGTTTGGCACCAGAAGTCTTCTCTAAACTATTCACATCAACCCCCTTGAAACCAGGCAATGGCTTTAGCTTCTTCTCATAAGCTTCAGCCTTGTCAACATCCACATGAGCAGCTGTAGTGACCAGCCCAACCAATGCCTCAAAACTTCCATGTGTTTTCACAAGCTCCTCATAGAGATGGAAGGCATCCTCCTCTCGACCATGTCTGAGCTTGAAGGAAGCAGCCTCCTGCATTATAACACTAGCTGATTGTCCTCGGTCATGGATTTAACCACCACTTGATTGCAGCGTCAAGCACAGCTGCTGCACCTTTGATATCTCCAGCACACTCTTTAAGAGACACAAGGGTGGCCACAGTACCGCATGTGCTGTATCCGTATTTAGCCAGGGACTCGGCTGCAATATGAGATGGTTGGCAGAAGCAGCAGCAGCAACCTGTGCCCTTGCCAGAAGAACAACTTTGGACTGGTCGAACTTCTCAGCAGCGGCCCTAATATTTCTTCAGCTCTTGCAGCCTTTTTCTCTCTCACTAAGACAGCAGCTTGAAGCAATACTGGCATCACACTGCCAGGAAAAAGGTCTGGCAATGTGGCAACAAGTTCTTGAGCTGTAAAGTTCCAGCAATGAAATGTAAAAGACATCATGTAACCAGGAATCTTGAAGCAGCTGAGTTTGCTCATAGTAAGTAAAAGAAAAAGGGACATATCAGAGAGAAATTTGCATACCCCCAGTATATACCTGATCCATCTTATTTGCATGAAGAAGTAAAAGCACCCGATTTGCATTATTGCCTCCTTTTGCTTTGATGAAAGCTTCAAGTCAAGCACTCCAGCAAGCTGAAAGTTTTGCATGCCTTTCTCTTTGATGCGATCAAGCTTCCTTAAGCTATCTGAAACATCTTTTGGACCCTTTAGTGCACGAGGTTGTTCACTGCCACAGCAAGTGATTTCATCTGCCAGATTTCGTTTGATAATGTCTGCATAGGTCCAATAGCCTCTTGTTTGTTCCAAGAAGCTGATTAAAGAAACTAATTTGCATTACTGACCATTGTATAACTCCCATCGCAAAATAGAGGGAAAAATTAAAACAGTACAAATATTTGCACAAGGCAGTTGTTTTCCTGCTGAACATACACTAATTGGACAGCTATTGAGCCAATTCATCTCTACTCATCCTCAGCATAGTTTTCATCAGTCATTGTTTCCTGACCAATTCTGACAAAACAGTAAATCAGTGTCCATAGAGTTCAACACTCCATCTTTACCAGAAGTTCTGAACTTTATGACCACACACATGAAGTATAAGAAATAAGCCACCACCAAAATTTATGAATAGAAAGACAAAAAAAAAAAAAAAAAAAAAAAAAAAATATACAGACAGAAAGACCATATTAATCATATGAATTGAATAGCTTCAAAATCTCAGAAAATTCCCACTTAGAAACTCATCCAAATTTTTCAGTTAAAAATAGGTGTATCCTTTCATATGAAACAAATGTCAATGTGCACTCAGCAACACCAATAAAAACCAAAAAAATTATCCAAAAATGATAAAGCCCAAACAAGTGATCAATAAAAGTAAATGTTAGATGCTAAATTATAAGACAGTTGTGAACTCTCTTCTATGGCATGAACTCAGCATCAGTGTGGAATTTCATTGTCCATGTCCGAACCTACCATGCCATGAATGAAGCTCAAGTAGATGTCAAGGGAACCATCTTTATGACCATTTAAATTTTATGACAAATCAAGCTCATTAAAGATAGCATAGTGGAAACTAACACAAGAAGTTGTGGACTCTATTTTGAGTTATTTTCATAAACAACAATCAGAACATGACATCTAATGAAGGGTTTGCTGAGAAGTGCTGCATCAAAAGTTTGCACTTCTGACATTGCTTTCAAATTACCTCCGTAGACACTTTCTTACTTAAAAATGGTTAAAATCAACTAAATAGCCACAAGTTGACTTTCACACTTGTACAGAATTCCCACTCAAAATGTCCTTCGTATAGTTAGTAGAATACTACTAATATAAGGTTGAAGACTAATACAAAACTAGAAACATTAATATATTCACAAAGTTCCAGTATTGTAATAAATAATATACTGTCACCAAAGAAAAAAAAAAAAAAACCATTATGATAACAGTGCCTTAATACCTTCGGGCTGCCAACAAGAGTTGTTCTGCATCAGAGTACTTATTCCTTTCAGCTAGAGAACAAGCAGTGTTGTATGCCAACTCATAGCTGCTAGTTGCTTTCACCCTAAGTCCATCCAGTGTTTTTCGCACTTCAGAAGCCCTTCCAGCCGAAACCAAACCAGCCACAAAATTTATTTCTAAAAGATCAATCTTGGATTTTTGAAGCTTCTCACATATATCTACACAGGCATCTACTTCTCCTAAACGATATAAAATCTGAGATTTCAAGAGCATGGCAACAGAATTGCTCTCTTGGTTTTTCAATAACTCCAATGCTTCATCTAACTTGTTTTGGCTGTATAGGCAGTATGCCTATTTAGAAACAGCAGAAGGAAAATTAAAATCAACATGCAAAGTTTATGTTCACTTTAGAAGCATCTAACTCATCCAAGATTAATAAACAAAAATATAGAACAATTGAGAACCAGTAGAGGCCGCAACAGAGATATAAGAAAAATAGATGTATTATCTCACGCCATTATTTGAAGAACTCAAACGAAGGGAGAAAATGCACTTCAATAATGTGATGCAAGATATCAACAAAAATTGAACGAACTTCAGAAAATAAAATAAATAGATATTCTATCATGGCAGCTAGCATGCGAATGCAATTAAACATTTTCTCCAAAAATTAACCACGATGGCAGCGAATTATAATTAAGAAGAGAAGCACAGCACGAAAAACTTAGAAAATTAAAAACCTTTAAGTAACTAAAGTCGATAGGGAGCTTTGGAGACGATTGAATTGCAGAGAGAGCTCCATCAATGTCGTCCGTCCCTATCAGAGCCACCACTTTGCATCGCATCGCGTCCTCATCGCCAGGCGCAATTGAGAGAACTGCAAAACAGTTACATGCAGCATTTCCATAAATAAGAGAACATAAAATGTTAAACGATAATATAGAAATGAATAGCCTGAAAGCTTGAGAACCGTACCTTGATCTGCGACTTTGATGGCTTGTTCAAGTTCAGATTGGTCGACATTGACGGATTGTTTGAATTTAGATCGCTCAATATGTCTGTTTAGCGAGGTGAACAGATCTTCGATGGCAGGTGGTAGCTGCGACGGCGCAGGCTTTGGTTTTTCTTTAGTTTTAGGAGTCATTGATCGAGATTTTGTTCGTTGTGGGAATTGCTTGTATTATTTTCTCGGTTACCAAACAGATCAGAGAGGAGGCAAGTTTCAAGGGTTGAGTATCGGAAGTTGGGGGTTTAGGCTGTACTTGTCCTCTGAGTTTTGGTGTTCCTACCAACTCTTCGGGCTTCTTAAGGCTGGGCCGAGCGACCCGTAAAGAAGCCCAAATGTATTTGCATTGGTTTACATGGGCGGTGTATAAGAGCTAGTAGTGTTGGAATTTGGCCCGAAACTTATAAAATTGGGCTGCCAATTGCAACCATTCACTATGCATATGATTGCGTACATGATTTTCCTGACAACATAAACACTTCACCTACTACCTACCATTCACCCAATTATGCCAAAATTACAAAATATATTTTTAAATTAATAATTTCATGATACTATTACATCAATAATTCCTTATAGCATATTTTTAGTATGACGTGTATCCGCGAAGAAATTAAAATAAAAGGACAAAGAAAATTAGATTATTTTGTTTCTAAAGTATATTTTTGAATCCCAAGAGCCTGGTTACTAATAAGATTTGTTTAACTGACATGTCTTCCCAAGTTTGAAATTGAGAATATAAACTTAGAAAAGGTTTTCTGATTTTTTTTTTTTTTTTTTTTTTGTTTAAAAATCTGACATGGCATATTTAAGCGTAATTAAAGCAGCAAAAAGGGTTAGGGTGAAAAGATTTAAACATTTGTGGGTTAAAGTATAATAAAAAGAAGTTGGTTTTTAAATTTGAAAGGCAAAACATATTCCTCTCAACTTCTCTTTCTCAAAACACGATTCAAACACCTCCCACTCTCTCTTTTTTCTTCCAATTTTATGCCATTTCTCAATTTCTTTGCTCTTTGCATTTTTGCCATTCCTCGCCATTCCCGGTTAAGTTACAATGGCTGAGATCCAAAAAAATCCATTCACTCCCCAAATTGCAGGCACCATTGGGTTTACCAAATATGGAGAAGAAGAGGTTGCGATGCAGTAACTTTCGATGACTGAAGTTACTCTACCGACAGAGGATACCTCGTCGTTAGAGGAGACAATATGGACAAAAGACATCCCACTGGCAGAAGAAGGGACGACAGATTCAAAATTGAAAATGAAGAGGAGGACGCCAGTGCAAATTCCAGCGAGGAGGTGGAAGAAGAAGAAGAATAGGTAATAATCTATATATTTTATGAAATTATTGGTTGTTGGTACCAATTTAGGGATATTTGGTTGGTGTTTGTTGTTAAGGTCATTGTTGCCTTCAACATGTTTTGCACCGGAAGTCTTCTCTAAACTATTCACATCAACCCCCTTGAAACCAGGCAATGGCTTCAGCTTCTTCTCATAAGCTTCAGCCTTGTCAACATCCACATGAGCAGCTGTAGTGACCGGCCCAACCAATGCCTCAACGCTTCCATGTGTTTTCACAAGCTCCTCATAGAGATGGAAGGCATCCTCCTCTCGACCATGTCTGAGCTTGAAGGAAGCAGCCTCCTGCATTATAACACTTAGCTGATTGTCCTCGGTCATGGAATTTAACCACCACTTGATTGCAGCGTCAAGCACAGCTGCTGCACCTTTGATATCTCCAGCACACTCTTTAAGAGACACAAGGGTGGCCACAGTACCAGGCATGTGCTGGATATCACGTATCTTAGCCAGGGACTCGGCTGCAATATGAGGATGGTTGGCAGAAGCAGCAGCAGCAACCTGTGCCCTTGCCAGAAGAACAACTTTGGACTGGTCAGGGAACTTCTCAGCATGCTGCCCTAATATTTCTTCAGCTCTTGCAGCCTTTTTCTCTCTCACTAAGACAGCAGCTTGAAGCAATACTGGCATCACACTGCCAGGAAAAAGGTCTAGCAATGTGGCAACAAGTTCTTGAGCCTGTAAAGTAGCAGCAATGAAACGTATAAGACATCAGGTAACCAGGAATCTTGAAGCAGCTGAGTTTGCTCATAGAAGTAAAAGAAAAAAGGGGACATATCAGAGAGAAATTTGCAATACCCCAGTAGTATACCTGATCCATCTTATTTGCATGAAGAAGTAAAAGCACCCGATTTGCATATATTGCCTCCTTTTGCTTTGATGAAAGCTTCAAGTCAAGCACACGAGCAAGCTGAAAGTTTTGCATGCCTTTCTCTTTGATGCGATCAAGCTTCCTTAAGCTATCTGAAACATCTTTTGGACCCTTTAGTGCAACGAGGTTGTTCACTGCCACAGCAAGTGATGATTCATCTGACAGATTTCGTTTGATAATGTCTGCATAAGCTCCAATAGCCTCTTGTTTGTTTCCAAGGAGCTGATCAAAGAAGCTAATTTGCATTACTGACCATTGTATAACTCCATCGCAAAAATGGAGGGAAAAATTAAAAATTAAAATAGTACAATATCTGCACAAGGCAGTTATTTTATCTACTGAACATATGCTAATTAGACAGCTATACAAGCCAATGCATTCTCTTACGGGGAAGTATAATACCTTATCGCTTACAACCTCCAACCCATAGTCTTTATAATTTACACTTCGGAAAATCTGCACAATCGATGTAAACTAAATATCAGCAAAAAAGAAAAAAAAAAAAAAAATCATCAAAACAACCAATAGATTGCCAATTTGGGGGATATGGGCTTCAAGGGCATCGGGAGTGGGTGTTTTTGGCTTCAAGAGGATCGAGGAAGCCAATGCAAGTCCTACAGAGGCTGTTGTGGCAGGTTCCATGAGGTTGGAGGACTGAGGATGACAGCAAGTGGCGAAATAGGGGGACTAAAGGGCTGCCTGGATATTGCAGGGCTGGCCATGCACAATTGCGTGTGCTGTGTGTGGCCAGCCCTCTAGCCCCTTTATTCCGCCACCTCTTGCCATCCCCAACCCGCCAACCTTCCACAAACAACCTCCCTACAACCTCCTTTGCCTTCCCCCATCTTCTGGAACCCAAACAAGGCCACTCCCCTAATGCCCACCAATTGCTCGACAAAATGCCACAACCATCGTAACAATAAAACCAACTAGATATCCCCCAAATTTGCACAAATCAATCAAATTCATAACAAGAAGTAAAAAACGTACCCTTTCTTCACCAACATCCTCCTCCTTACTTAAATTCTCGCTGACATCCTCCTCTTCAGAATCATTTTCCGATTCTTCTCTTTGTTCTTGTGCCGCCATTGTTTCCTCTGCCTCTGGACCACCTTCACTCATCGGATGATCCACTGGAGCGTCTTCTTTGACAGCCTTTGAACTACCGCTGCCGCTGGAGTCTAGGATTTGGAATGGGGTTAGGTTTTCCTCCTCTTTGTCAATATCAGTCATGATTTTGTGTAAGGAAGCTTTAGGATCAAATATCTGCCGGAATAAGACACTTTCGTCGCCAAAAATGGCAGAGAAATCAAAGGTATTCGTCGGTCGTTTTTTGGGTATTTGTCTCGATTAAGCAATTTTAAAGGGTGGGGGTAGTTTTTAATTTTCAAAATTTAAACAAACTTCTGTTAATTATAATATTACCCACATATGTTTAAATCTTTTTAGTTTAAACTGTTTTACATGTTTAATGAATCCTAAGTGGGCCATGTCAATTTTTCTAAATTAAAAAAAATTACAAAATATTTACAAGGTCATTTTTTTTAAATGCAAACTTGGGAGTTTCAGAGTTAAACTTCCTCTCTAATTGACCCTCTCATCCCTCACTTGAGCTATAAAATAACGCTTCACGGCTTACCCAAGAAATCGAATAGATGTTGTAGGAACACCAACACTCACATTACAGATACAACCTAAATCCCCACCTTCCGATACTCAACCCTCCAAACTCAACTCCTCTCCATTATGTTTAGTAACCGAGAAAATAATACAAGCATTCCCACAACGAACAAAATCTCGACCAATGGCTCCCAAAACTAAAGAAAAACCAAAGCCTGCATCGTCCAGCCACCACCTGCCATCGAAGATCTGTTCACCTCGCTAAACGGACATATTGAGCTATCTAAATTCAAACAATCCGTCAATGCCAATCAATCTGAACTTGAACAAGCCATCAAAGTCGTAGATCAAGGTACGGTTCTCAAGCTTTCAGGCTATTCATTTCTTTATTATTTTTTAACATCTTATGTTCTCTTATTTATGGAAATGCTGCATGTAACTGTTTTGCAGTTCTCTCAATTGCACCCACCGATAAGGACGCGATGCGATGCAAAGTGGTGGCTCTGATAGGGACGGACGACATTGATAGAGCTCTCTCTGCAATTCATTCGTCTCAGAAGCTCCCTATCGACTTTAGTTACTTAAAGGTTTTTAATTTTCTAAGTGTTTCGTGCTGTGCTTATCTTCTTAATTATAATTCGTTGCCATGGTCGATTCTTGACATACTGTGTTAAAACGTGGTTGATTTTTGGAGAAAATGTTTAATTGCATTCGCATGCTAGCTGCCATGATAGAATATTTATTTATTTTATTTTCTGAAGTTCGTTCAATTTTTGTTGATATCTTGCATCACATTGTTGAAGTGCATTTTCTTCCTTCGTTTGAGTTCTTCAAATAATGGCGTGAGACAATACATCTATTTTTCTTATATCTCTATTGCGGCCTATACTTTTTCTTATATCTTCGATGGCAGGTGGTGGCTGCGATCCATATTCTCAATCCTATTCTCCAAATAATGTTTGGCACATTATTCCAGAAATATTACCCTGTTTTTTTAATTACTTTTAGACCCCATAAGGTTATTAATTTCATTAAATACCCCTTGAAAAAAAGTTTAAAAATTAACAAAAACACCCCCGTGACCCATACTTGCCAAATTTTGACTACCACCGACCTGTCACAACGGTGAATTACAGATCGAAACTGGCCTGTAATTCACTGATCTGGCCTTTTCCAGCCAGATCCACAGTGGATCTGGCCGGAAAAGGCCAGATCTTGGCCATCGTTGACCAACAACGACGGCTATATCTTTGGCCGTCGCTGACGACCAAAGATGGCCTCCTTTGGCCTTTTCCGATCGTCGATGGCCACATATGGCCATAGATCTGGCCAAAAAAGGCCATAGCGACACCATACTGGCCAGATCCGACCGATATGTGTGGTTATGCAATTTTTTCGGCTAGATTCCGACAGTGGTGGTTGGAATCTGGCACTGCAAGTGGTGGGGGTCTTTTTGTCATTTTATATATTTTTATGTATTGGGATATTTATTAAATTAGCACACTTAGGGGGTTTTTCTTAGGCCTGTAACTTGACCTCTTTCTCCTAGGGAGCCACCTTTCTGGGTTTGGTGGAGGACCAGGGTTGGTAGGGTCAAATCCTTTGGGGCTTGGCTTTCTCTTTCTCCTTTTCTTTGGTTTCTCCCTCCTTCCTTCCTCGTGTACTTCAGGGACAACATGAGCAACGCCTTCAACATGTTTTGCACCATAAGTCTTCTCCAAACTGTTCACATCAACCCCCTTGAAACCAGGCAACGACTTCAGCTTCTTCTCATAAGCTTCAGCCTTGTCAACATCCACATGAGCAACTATAGTGACCAGCCCAACCAATGCCTCAATGCTTCCATGCGTTTTCACAAGCTCCTCATAGAGATGGAAGGCATCCTCCTCTTGGCCATGTCTAAGCTTGAAGGAAGCAGCCTCCTACATTATAACACTTAGTTGATTGTTCTCAGTCATGGAATTTAACCACCATTTGATTGCAGCCAATGTTTCAAAAACCAGACCGGACTATGACCTGTTCAAGGGTCTGGTTTTCGGTTTGATCGGTTGGATCGGTTGGTTGGATCGTATTCCATAAAATTATATTTTAGTCCCTGAAGGTTTGAAATTCATCAAAAACACTCCTATAATACTCCTTTAAGGTTTGAAATCTTTCTAAAACACCCCTGTTGCGCGAAGAGACTGATGAGTGGTGGCCGCAGCGATGATCAACGGCCAATCGAAGTTGGAATCATAGGGCCTTTGATGTATAGGTGCCAACGAATTTGATGGTGGTGCTAGGGAGTTCCATCAGCGCCGGAACTCACCGGAATCAACAAAAGAAATTTGACGGTCCCGTAAACTTTAGGTGGACGGCGAGCGACAAAAGCTGGACGACGGCCACTGAAAATGGATGGGTTTGGTCGTGGAGATGCCGTCATGTCGAATGGTGGTGTTTTCTCCATCGAACGATGTTGGAATCCGACGGGATTGAGCTGCCATTGGACCGCGACTCGACAGTATTCTGGCAGTCCAACCGCGGCTCAATCCGGTTTAACGGTAAATGTCGATTTTTATGAGATACCGGACCGGAAATACCATCGGCTCCCTGTCGAACTGGTCCGACTGGACGGTCCGGTTTGGTTTTCAGAACATTGATTGCAGCGTCAAGCACAGCTGCTGCACCTTTGATATCTCCAGCACGCTCTTTAAGAGCCACAAGGGTGGCCACAGTACCAGGCATGTGCTAGATATCACGTATCTTAGCCAGGGGCTCGGCTGCAATATGAGGATGGTTGGCAGCAGCGGCAACCTGTACCGTTGCCAGAAGAACAACTTTGGCCTGGTCAGGGAACTTCTCAGCATGCTGCCCTAATATTTCTTCAGCTCTTGCAACCTTTTTCTCCCTCACTAAGACAGTAGCTTGAAGCAATACTAGCATCACACTGCCAAGAAAAAGGTTTGGCAATGTGGCAACAAGTTCTTGAGCCTGTAAAGTTGTAGCAATGAAACGTATAAGACATCAGGTAACTAGGAATCTTGAAGCAGCGGAATTTGCTCATAGAAGTAAAAGAAAAATGGGACAAATCAGAGAGAAATTTGCAATACCCCAGTAGCATACCTGATCCATCTTATTTGCATGAAGAAGTAAAAGCATTCGGTTTGCATATATTGCCTCCTTTTGCTTTGATGAAATCTTCAAGTCAAGCACACCAGCAAGCTGAAAGTTTTGCATGCCTTTCTCTTTGATGCGATCAAGTTTCCTTAAGCTATCTGAAACATCTTTTGGACCCTTTAGTGCAATGAGGTTGTTCACTACCACAGCAAGTGATGATTCATCTGCCAGATTTCATTTGATAATGTCTGCATAAGCTCCAATAGCCTCTTGTTTGTTTCCAAGGAGCTGATAAAAGAAGCTAATTTGCATTACTGACCGTTGTATAACTCCCAACGAAAAAATGGAGGGAAAAGTTAAAAAAAAATTAAAACAGTACAATATTTGCACAATGCAGTTATTTTTCCTGCTGAACATACGCCAATTGGACAGCTATATGAGCCAATTCAAGCTCTATCTCATCGTCAGCAGAGTTCTCATCAGTCAGTGTTTCCTGACCAATTCTGACAAAAATAGTAAATCAGTGTCCA